CTGACCACCGTTTGGGAGCCCCTCTAAAGCCCATTTCGATGTTGAAGAAGGTGTTGTTATGATACGGTGATGGCAGTGAAGTGGTTGAGGGAGCCTCCCAACACGCTCAGCACAAAGCCTGCAATGTGGATTTGAGCTGCCAAAAGCGGCACAAATCACCGTCAGGTTTGCTCTGAGCCGCAGATGGGGGAGGACTGAGAAGGATTGTGGAGATGTTTGTGTAAAGTTTGAAGATTTTAAATATTAGAAAGTTGCAGTGGTTTGGTGCAGAAGTGGTATTAAAAGCAAATAGAGGTGGATGTGGTAATTGTTGAACGTTATTTATAACAACCAGACCTAGAAGCCTGCGATTTTTTTTAATCCACTGTTCAGCTATAGCAGAGAGGGTCCGAATTCAATGCAGAGTCATCCAAGAGGCACGATAGTTTGAGCCTGCTTTCTGCTCTTGCCTCCGGCCTCCCCAAGGAAGAGATTGAAGAGAACCTCACTGTTTGCTCTCCAAGTGTAACTTCAAAGAGGTGGGAGACGCCTTCAAGAAGAGTGTGGAAGAAGGGGACATGGACAAGGTGCAGAAGTAAGCCTGCTCTGGAACACTGGTGAAAGATGTTTATGCAGGTCTACACGGTTATGTTCTACAAGAGAACAACGATGACAGCCGGGAGGATGGCACAGAAAGGCAATTACTTTTTTTAAAAAATCTCTTTTCACTCACAGGTTTCACCGAAATGAGAAGTTCTGTCGCACCAGGCCTGTCATGGATGAGAGAAAAGTCCCGATTGGGTTATGATCTTAGCACATGAGAAAGTAGAGGGTGCAGCTCAGCTGGATTGATAGTATGTTTGTACTGTTAGGTAGGAGTAACCTGCTTCACAGCCAATGTTGTGGGAGGTGGAAACCTGGCCAGTTTGTGAAAGGATCTGGTGTTCTTGAGGATCAGAAGTTGAGTGTGAGTCAACTCCAGGCTATTTAGGAAAAGGCAAATGTCATGTTCCAATTTATAAACAGGAGTAGATCCCATAGGACATGGGAAGCAACCCTTCCTCTTTGCAATGTATTTGCAAGGGCTCAACTGGAATGAGGTGTGCAGTTCTGAGTGCCATGTGTCAGAGGCAGAGCAGGGGACAGGTGAGCAGACGAGAATGGTAAGACATGTCAGAGCTGTAGGAAATGCGTGCCCTCTGAGGGGCAACTGAAGAAGTCACAGCTCTTCAGGTTCTGAAGGGAGGTATGAAGAGCTGTTTTGAAAAACATAGGGTTCTGTAGCAAGAAATAACCTGTTCACTGTGTCTGTGATGGACGGGAGAGGAAATAGCAGGCTTAAACTGCAGTAAAGGGGACAGGATAAACAAAGACTGTAAGCGTAGGCATGGTGAGACTGAGATCGATTGCACAAGGAGGTCATGGAGTCTGCTGCTGAAGGCTGATGAGTTGGAGTAACATAGGTCTGCTCAGTGCAGTTTTGAGAGGAGAGGTGGATATTCAGTCTTTCACATACCTTTTATGTTCCCCATTTTTCTATCTCTTAACATTGTTGTATATGTAAGTTGTATGCTAGAGGTGTGGTGTGGTTTGGTAAGGCAACAGATGGCTGGAGCACATGAAATATAAGAATGTAAAGAGACTTTAAAGCAAAGAATGAGTATAAAATTGAGATAGAGGACTAGTAATGTAAATAAAATTTTTAAAATGGTAAAATTAATCAGAATATTCATGCTTGCCCTGTTCCTCAATATACAGCCTTTTTGGTCAGAAGAAAGTAATTATGTGAATTTGAGGCTAAAGGCAATACCAAGTATGTTGTGAACTTTGAGTGGCTTTTTTGAAGGTTCGGCCTCCAGTAACTGAATCCTCAGGAGTATTTTGGCTGAGGGGGGGACAGAGAAGGAAGAAATGTTTACTTCCTTTACAGAATAGCCTGTAGAGCTCTGCTTGTTTTCCTTGAAGAAAAGGAGTTTGTTGTATAGGAAGTAGCTGCAGCTCGTCAAGAAAACTACACAGGCAAGTAACAGAGGAAAAGAAGAAACCTGCAGGACAGCCAATTGACTATTAAAAAGTCAACCAGAGGTGTAACAGCATACTAGGAGGGCCAAAAGACAGATACAAAAATGAAAACTGATGCCTGTCCATATATGCATGTAGTCTGAGAGCATTACTTTATGTCTGGGGAGCAAGTATGAAAATGCAGAGGGCTTAGAATATGGCCAGAATGTTGGTTCATTGAAAGTGGTGATTTATTTGCATCAATGGTTTGGGAAGGATGCATGAGCACATTATCTATGCAGGTAAGCCAGATGGAAGCAAGCAATAGGAAAAAGAGTTACTGACAAAAAGATGCGTTGAGGGGAAAATTCTGAAGTCTTTAGATTTAAGTCAGTGGAAGAGCAGAAAAATAAGTGAAAAACAGACATGATATGTGATAACAGTGATGCAGTCTTGTAGAAACTGCACTAAGATGTCCAATGTGCCCCTAAATTATATAGTAGAAAGCACACAGGAAAGGGATTTAGACTACTCATGATACTCTTGTTTGGGTACCATCGACTCTAGTATACTGCCTCTGCGACTGTTGCAAGCCCTGTTGTTTGTCATTGTTCAGTAACTCATCAGTCTAGCAGCGAGGGTATGAGTGCCCTCGCCCAACTCCGTATCCATCAGAAGTGCAAGAGCTGAGTGACGACTGAGATGAGTTTGCCTCAATATCCGTTAGTTGCTGTCAGCCCTGGAAGAGTGGAGATGACCGCATCCTTTTAAATGGGCCAGCAGTTTCAACATGGGATTTCACATCAGAATGCACTATCTGGTTGTTGACATCCTGACTGGAGCTTTGTGACTTAATGTCCTCAAGGACTTCAGCGCACCCCTGAACATCAGCTGTGCTAGGCTAGCTCTTTAATTCTTTGAAGTAATCGTCTCCCTGCATTTTACATGGTGTGAGTACTCCTTTCTGGACAGTCAAGAAATACATCTAGAGAATTTGGTGCGTGTTTGACCTCATGCCAAAGGGGCTTTGGCTCATTCAGTTGCTCAGCTCATTCCTGTTTTAGCATGGAAGCTACCTCATGCCCATAACAATATGAAGAGTCAATGTAAAGATTTGGTGTGATCTCATTCATTTTGAAAAGATCAGCTGAAAATCTGCTAAACCAGCCTGCCATCGGGTGAAATGAAAGCACCTCCCAAGCATGTGAGGTTTTCTGTCTTGAAAAAAAAATTAGACTGAAAAAAAAGGATGTACTGAGGCTCCAGCCCAAAACTGATCTTATTTCCACTAAGGATTTCGTCTGTGTGATCAAAACCAGCTGTCGTCTCAGTCAAAAAATGTCACTTCAATCCAAGGCACGTGCAGGAGAGCTGTTACAATTAGTGTGCAATCTCATTAGCGCATTCCCCCAGCAGGCACTTGCTTGTTTTGATTATAACAGTGAAGATACAGTGCAGTTTCAAAAGACAGACCAGTCCTGGATTATCTGAGCTCACCAAAGCTGTCCCCTGTGTGTCAGATCCCTATTTGTATTCTTTCCTTAAGGCGAATAAGACATCAGAAGCGCCTTTATTGGCAGTTGTTGCCACATGCCGGGAACCTGCCAAGATTAATATACAAAACATTCCCCTCCCTGCCTCCTGCTTTCAAAAAGTAACCAGCATAAAAGTGTTATTCAGTTACTACCCAGTCGGAAACCTCATGTTGTCAGAAGTTGTTACTAAGACGACAGTGGTTATTAATGATGTACCGAGTTGCATGCTTCGGCATATCTTTGGAAATGATACAGATGTGTTTATTTGCAGATGACTGGTTAATTTTCCTTTGAATCAGTAAGTAATCTGTAGAGAACATATGTAGCAAGTAGCTAGGTATAATTTATTCATTGTTCCTTTAATTATTCTGTTTTCCTTTATTCCATATTGTCAGGTTTTCAGCTGCTGTTAGTAATAAAAGCAAGCTGAAAACCCGTGAAGCTGAAGGCATAATTTCTTTAGCATTTTTCAAATGGGCAGGGGATTCATCTTTTCTTGAAATGAACTGATTTACTGCAACTACTCTCTAAAGCAATACTACAGAATAAGTTAAAACCTTATAAAAATTTTAAGCACTCCTCTGAGGAAAGCACATTCAAGTCATTTGCAGTATCTATGTAGAGTTATCTCAGTCTTTTTTGGTTGCTGGCACGGAGAGAAAATATCACTTCTAGAAATTCATCGTCATTTCAAACAATAAACTGAAACAGCATCAGTTAAACTATTGAAGAAAATCAACAGTGTCATTTGTCACCTCTGAGTTAGAGATGATGAATTAAAATCTCAACATGCCTCCATTTCTGCATATATCATAGACTGACAACAGTTAATCTTCTAACTAAACATATGCAAAAAAAAAAAAAAACCTAGGTAGTTTATCACCACAGGTATAATTGCTTTTTGACCAAGTGCTATTTTGTATGTTGTTACCTGTAAAACCTTTTCTTTCCAATGAGATCTTTCTCCATTTTTTCCCAAGCTACAAATTTTTCATACAGCTGTTTTGCACTGTAAATTCGGAGGACCAAACTTTCTTGGGAATGTAATGTTATTCTGGGAGTGTTCCTTGGTCTGCTCTTCTGACAATTTCACTTTAAAGGAGCTATTGTTTGCTTCCTGACCACTTTCCTATCCCAGGTGAAGTTGCAAATTCCTGAGGGGCAAATTTTTGGTTTTGAGAATCATATTCCGTAAGTCATTCAGAATTTGACTTGGCATGAGAGTCTAGCAGAGGTTGTGTAGTGTGTAAAATGGAAAATAATTCTGATATTAAAGTCATGCCAAACAAGCAGGGGCATCTTTTTCCTTACCTTATGAGTCTCCTGTTAACAGGAAACTGTAAAGATTTGGGATATACCTCATTAAAAATTTTATTTACAAAAAAGCTCTAAATTTTTTCCCATGAAAGTTTGCACTCTGTCTCTCCAAAAGTACAATTTGTCCTTCTGTTTGCCGCTCTAATTTGAACTGAATTTATTTTGTAGCTATCCCTTGAACAACAGTGATCTGCATCAGTTCAACATTGAGGAGAATGGTGGAGCACCATATACCACAAAAATGCCTGCAAGGCACCACCACCACCACCGTCACCACCACCACCACCCAAATTACGGCGCCCTTGCTCCTGATAGCAAAGACATTGTTTCTGGAGTTCCAAACCCAAACAGTAAGTCCACTGCAGTGTCATGTCATTTCAGTAACTGTGCTGCTTTCAGACTTGTCTCTGGCAAAGAAACAAAGGAAAGAAAAAGAAAACATCACACATTTCAGTTTTTCTCCTTGAAGGATGCGCTTCCTGTTATATTGTTTGCTAGCTTTGTAGTACGTGCACATGAGACAAGATTTACAATTCCCTGGCGTTGCTATGGGGTTGTGAGTTTGGTGTTAGAGCGGTGTTACATAGCTGAACAAATACCCAATTAGTCACAGATACCGAGTCTGTAGCCACTTGGCACAGGGTATTTTTTCATTGTTACTGTTTGTATAGTTTCACAAACCTATCCTCGTTTGCCATTGTCTTTTGCTGATCTGCCCAGCTGGCCTTCAGCCCTCATTGTTTGGATCTGACTCTTGCTTTCATGTCTGGGCACAAACAACAGAAATTTCGGGGCACTGGGCAAACAGCATCTTGCACTCGGTTTGGGTACCGGCAACAGCTGCTCAGCCTCAGCTACCACAACTGCAGTGCGCTTGCTTGATGGAGAAATTCTTGTCATGTAGGAAGCAAAGAGGAGAGAAATCTATCTGTTCCTGATGTAACCCTGGGAAGTTTGGGTGTAAGTCTCTGATGCTGAAGATGTACAGGCTTTTTTAAGGGTACATAGCTCAGCCAAATGTTTGTAGGTTTATACAGGAACCGGAAGACAACATCCCTGCCATTGAGCAATTCTACTTCTTGCTCTCCAAATTTGTAATCTCTGCACTCTGCAGTATGTGAGGTGCTGAGGCTGTGTAAGAATTTCAGAAGATGGGCAAAACAAGGTGGGATCTATTATTTTCCTTGCCTCAAGAACTTATCCTTTGGTAAGTTCTTCCTTTGCCCAGTTTTTGCCTTTGTAATTGTAAATCACCCTGATATAGGCATCTGTCATGGAAACTTTCAGCCTGGGCAGTTAATCTGACGACTTTCAAATTCCTGAAACCAGGATCTTGTAGTGGATGGTGCTGGGTGACCTTGACTGTAGGCTGTCCCACCTCAGCAGTAATGCACAGGCATCTACCTGCACAGGCACTTTGTCCTGGTTTTAGCTGGGACAGAGTTAGCTCTTCTTTTTAGCAGCTAGAAGAGCTCCGTGTTTTGAGCGACTGTGTAGGGTTTGGTTGCCAGAGCAGCCTAACCCACGACACACTTGAATCAGACTTTGTTTCAGAAACCCAGAAACATTTTCTTTAGTTTTCTTTCCCAAGGAGAGGGAGCTAACAGTTTTTAGGATGGGAGCTCAAGAAATAGAATGCAAGGTGTCGCAGACATTTAAGGAAGAAATCCTAAGCAGCAATACGAATTGCTTGCCGGGGCTTTCAGCAACACTACTCCCTTAGGAGCAACCTCCAGGAGACGTGCTGTGCTCCTCTGCCTTTCGCTGGTTGTATGCTCCACACTGGCGTACCGTCGTGCTGCAACGTGCGTGGGGCTGGCGTGGCACACCGCCAGCACGGCCTCCCCTCACCTGGTTCTGCCATGGAGGCTGTGCCGTTCCGGTGGGTGCTCCTGCACCGCTGATGGGGACCCGCATCTTGGCCACGGTCTGTGGCGGCCGGTGCCGGGTGGGAGGGTGGCACGGGCTGTCCCGTTGGGCGACTGCTGGGCGGCTCGTCCTGGCCATGAGCAGCCGCTGAGCGCTGGCGGCGGAGGGACGCTGGCAACGAGCCTCTCCTGGGCTGTCAGCCTGGTGTGGCGGGAGGTGGTGGCCTTTCTAGGGGCTGCGCCAGCCCATGTTTTTCTTTCCCAAATCAGAGTTGAAACATGCCAGGAAATGCAGCCAGCGCCAGCTGTGCTGCTGCAGAGCGTCCCGGCTCTGAGGCTGCCCCTGTCCCTCCGGGGGCTTTGCCCATGGCCCAGGTGCTGTGCCAGCCCCTCGGACCTCAGCCTCTGCCCCAGCAGCCAGCAGCAGAACAGTCTCCAGCTCCGCCAGCCCTGCCGTGCTGGGCCCTCCCATGGAGCAGGAGGTGATTCAAGAAACGACGGCAAAAAGTACAGCACAGGGTGCTCAGCCCGGCTCTGTGCCTCCTCTTGGGCTGCACTGCTTTCCTACTCCTCCTTGCTGGTGAAATGAGCTTAGGAAATGCTTAGAAAAGCATAAGGGCAAATAGCAGGAGCAGTTCTGTTTGCGCCCGGTGAGCGTTACCCGTGCGATGAAACATGGGGCCTGGGGGGCTCCATCCCCCTGGGCATGGGGAGGACACGCTCTCTTCCCAAACCCTGCACTGCTTGGGGGGAGCATCCCCCCAGCCTCCCCGCAGCTGCACTGGAGAGAGCTTCAGCAGCTGAGACAGCCATGTAGCGCCTATTCCTGGAGGAATGGCCTATGTCTTTCTCTGTGTTTTGTCTGCCGAGCTGTTCAGGCGGCTGGGCATGCCGTGCGCCAGCTTGTCTCAATGCAGGCGTGCTGCCCCACGATGACCCATTGCCCATCCTGAGGAGACCCGTGCTCCTGCGCCCAGCCAGCAGCGCGAGGCTGGTTCCCCTGGAAAGGGCAGACCACTGTTGGACCCGGTGTGTATACGCCATCAGATCAGTGATGGTGTGGATAGGACCACTGCCCTTAAAGCAGAGCCAAAGTTACTCATTTGCAGTTTGGGGTGACAGTTCCAGGTGCCTTTTCAAGGTTGGTGCTCGGTGAGTTTGGTTTAGTTTGTTTTTAGTGGTTTCATTAGAATGCCGCTTAGGCTATTTCAACTGAGAAAACCGTCTTGTAGGGAGCCTGTGGAAAAGGCTCATAGTGTACATGCCGAAAGGGTTAGGAGCACGCTGGCTGTCAGTCGGGTATCCAGGACAGCACACACAACAGTGTGTGGGATGAGAAGACTCAGGGAGAGAGGACGCACTATCAGGGACTGCATCAGGAACCAGGGGCACAGGGGACTGATGTCTGGCTCCGAGCTGCATGGAAAGGCCACTGCTGGGAACATGTTTCTAGGAAGTAAGTGGTCACTAATCTGGGGGCACTCTCAGGGAAGAGGGTGCTTGTGACCAAAATATCTCAAGTGGAAATGCCTGGAAAGTTTGAAGGTCTCATGGGAGAATACACTGTCCTAGTGGAAACTTGCTCGTGAGGCTGATGGAGGTGAGGCTGTGCACACCAGCACTTCAGTTCGGGCACCTTGTGGTTTTCCAAGGGACCACGGGCATTTTGTGACTTATTCCAGTTCCCGTGGACTGGACTCATCTGTGAGCTCTGAGGTGGTTTTAAAGTAATCTGAAGTAGAATGTGGACTGACCCACCCATATGTACCCGGCATTGAGTCAAGAGAGGGAGAAAGCGTCTACCTTTCTTTCACTCACGCCTATTTCAATAAACTCCAAAATTCCAGCAAAATTTGAAGGACAAGGGCAGAAGAGAAGGAAAGGACAGTATGCCCAGCCAAGGTTCCCTTTAAATACTGGTGTATGTTTCACAGCAAACACTCGTCCTGGGATTTTGTTACAGAAAACAAACCCAGGCCAGACCTGCCTGATTTTTCACATTCCATGTAATTTGTCTACTTCAATTACTGGAAGAAGTGAAATCCAGTGAAACAAATCTGACGCGTGTGTTTATGAAGGCGGTCCAGCAGAAGATGTTGTTTCCCTGCATCCAGCTCAATTACCGTGTTTGCGATGCTGCCCTTCACCTCAGAGCTAAGGTACGCAGATCACATCTTTTGGTGCAGCAGATCTTCCCCCGAGGTGTTCACGGAATCCCAGTCCCAGGGACCACCGTATTCAAGAGCAGTTAGCCTTGCAGCGCCAGCGCCGCCACGCAGAGGGGGTGAGCTGCTTGCTAAGCCTAATTGGCATGGCAACGTCGTGCATGGATTATCAGGTGCACGTGAGCAGATCCACTGGCAGCAGCTGGGGCCATCACCAAAAGCAGATGCCAACAAGTACGCAACGTTGCTCACAGAATTTTTGTGACGGAAAATGATAACAAGAAGAGGGGGCCCAGCTTGTCCCTTGAACTCTGGGCTGAGCTTGCAGGTTATCACTTACAAAAAGACATCCTTTATTCCTGAACGGCTCACTACGAAAGTCCTTGTGTAACCCTGAGCAGACAATGGTGTAATACAGACTGAGATTCAGGCTGGAAACAGTGCTTTGAAAAAACACAACACTGCCAGATCCCTTCTTGAAATGGAAGCCTGGTTTTGCCAAGACTTAATGCTGTCTCAGGAAATGTATGCCTTTTGCAGGACTTGATTTTTTTGCCTTTTTCTTACATCTGTTTTGAAGGTTCAGTTAAAAGGCTAAACTGACTGGCTTGGTTTTTAGAGCTCTCCCTTTAAACAAGAAAAAAAACAGCTTAAAAGTCAGTTTTAAATCACAGAAAACTTGAATAATTTAAATAAGGCACTTTTTCCCCCCCTCTATATTCTTTCTTGACAAGAAAATAGAAGGACTGTGGTTTTTTTTTTTAAAAAAAGCAACCATCATGTGTCTTATTTTACAGCTGTAGTTATATATTCCCAGGTATTATCAGGCAGTTTCACAGTCTTACATCCACGGACGCAGCTGTGATGTGAGAAATGCCAAACTCTGGCATCACTAACTTCTGATGAGAGACCACCGAGGCGAGGTCAATGCTGATATTGTAATCCCTTCTAGGACATTATTACCTCAGGGTCTGATAATGTTTCACCAATGCCAAAACCAGCTTTTTGCTTATATCCCTATAAGCTGCTTTTAGCAGTTTGTCCCTAGTCAGCAAAGCCCTTAATGTATATTTAAACAGCTGTAGAATTACATCTTGAGCAAGTAATATTTAATATTATTAGGACAGCTTAAGAACCTGATCCAAACAAAACTGCAGTCAGTGCAAAGATTTTATTGATTTCAGTGGACTTCAAATCAGACTCCAGAGATTACCGGGTTGTTCCCATGAATCTACCTAGAATCCATATGGCAAAAAGAAATACAGGAGGACACGGATTTGTAAAGTCATCACATGATGAAGCTCATTTTTCTCGGAGTACTTGCAAATATACCTATGTATGCCACACCATCCCCAGGATGTTGGCAGCGACCTTTCAGGGCTGTCTCAAAACATAATTTTCCTTGTCTTTGTGTCAATGGTTTGCTCAAAATCTCTGTTGACAAAGCACAGCAAATTCCTGACAACAGTCTTAAGGAGGCTGACATATAAATAAAGATGTCTGAGAGAAGCCAAAAGCTATACTCTGATGTCTTTACACATCACATGTTGTTAGAGTGGCACCTTGGCTACAGAAATAATCCCTCTGGTGTCAATTGAGTTTTAGAATATATTAGGGGGGGTGGTGGGGGAAGTGCAAGAAAAGAAGCATCTAGCCCAAGGCTGGCAAAAGCCCCACTGAAATGTAGGGATGGGAGAGAAGGAGGAGGAGCAGGAATCGTTTGCTAAAGAGAAAAAAGAAAAGGAATTCAACAGGCGTAATTATGAAACATTTTAGATGGTCTTGCGGGGAAGATGGTTTTCTGACTGCTGTCTCTTCACATGCAGCTGAGTGTCTTGCTCTGCGGTTCTTCTGTAGCCTCCCTTCAGACTGTGTTTTTTTCTTTCTTTCTTTCTTTTGGGCATCTTTTAGAACTGAGCTCAGGACTTCCCCTTCTTTATGATGAAACTTCTCATCTGAAGAAAATAGAAACGGAGAGTGTGAAGGTAGTTGGACCATGGCCAGCCCTGCACGTCAGCATGAACAAGGTATAGCGTATACGGATATACTTTTACATGTTTATGCCAGAGAGCCCCTTTGTCACTTCATATTCAAAAGCTGCTGCCTTTTCACCTCCAGTTCAAATCAGCACTCATCTGCAACTGGCTTGCTTTTTAATCACCTCTTACCATCTCCTATGGGACTGAGGTTCGGTTTTTAGATTTAGCATTTCCTTCAACTTTGCCTTTTAAAATTTCAGAAGCTACTGCAACAATGTTATGATGTAGTTTTAATTTGGTTGTGAAGAGTTAGTCATCTAGGCAGCCCAGAGCTGTAAAAAAATAACAACACTTGAAGTGATAAAAAAAAAAAAAAATCTTGTTTTTCTACATGAGGAGTCTGTGTTATGCCTTAGAACTCGCCTGGCATCTGATGTCAGTGGGTGTTTTATGCGTGAGTTTTTGCAGGGGTGGCAGAACAGCCTTGTCCCACTGTTTCTGCCAGAGATCAGAGGCCACTGGGTCGGTGGCTCTTGTATCCATGTGAGGCAAAATCCACTGTGCCTACACTGTGGGGTTCCTTGAGCTGAGTCTGGATAGAGCCGCAGAGACCTGGACCTCTGGTTTGCACCCACATCAGTCCTGAGTTGAACCCAGTGAAGTCAATGAGAGCATTGCGACTGGCTTCAAATGAGGTGGGTCTGGGCCTCCAGTGACTATACAGACCTGTTAAAAGAAAAGTGGTATTTGGGGAGTTTTCTGTCAGTTCAAGCAAGAGCTCAGTTAAATTACTTTACCTTGGTTTTACAGACAGCCTTTTGTTATTGATGTTATTTCAACAAGTGTTAGGGATATTAAAATCAAAGTGGAGGTGGCAAAGTGTATCAAAAATACAAGCGTAAAAGGGCCGTATGTCTATATAGCATAATCTTTTTTTTTGGATGAGAGAATCCAGGAAATGGAAATAAAGGCTGAAAATCAGTGAGTTGCATGTTTCCAATAAAAATGAAATCTTGGAATATTTTTTTTTCAACATTCTAGTTAATTGAAGTTAATCCATAATGCACTGTTTTTTCCATCACGAAGATTTGCTTGAAGAACTGTGTTCAGGGTGTGTCATGGGGGGGATGGTGTAGCTCAGCTAAAGACTGCAGGCCTTATGAATGTGGTCATGAGGCAATGACCTATATCCTGACTTTTGGAGAGTTCTGAATTAATATATCAAGGTGGAATTTTTTAGATTTTTTTCCCAAATCTATTTGGTTATCATCTGTGAGGAGCTGTCATTTTATCTGACTGTTTGGTTTGAGTGGGAATAAAAGGTTATATTGTAAAGCAGACAAACTGAGGTGAAATGGAAGAGAAGTCTTTTTTTTTTTTTTCCCCATGGACCTTTGTCAAGCTCTTCTAGAAGTACTCTGGAAATGAGTGCAGTTTTTTATAGGCAAAGCATTGACATAGGTTGCCAAAGGAAGATTCTCCATCTCATGGATTCATCCAGTGAATACTGAGGTCTTGTGAGAAGAGCGAAGCACTGTAGTTCAAATGTGATTACTGATACTCTGTCTTAACCCCGGCTGAGAACATCCACTTAGGTGCAATGTCCAGAATGTGCTTTAAAGGATGGTCTTACACTATTGAGCTAATTGACAGCTCAGTCTGGCATATATAAAAAAGGGCTAAAGTGAAGAAATGAGAAGTCTCTCTCCATGTTGACCACAGTGCACAAGTGGATAAATGAGTCTGGTCTGTGTTGTGCAAAAGATTTGAACAGATGATCTCAGTTGTACCCTTGTGATCTTGAAATTAGTAGATTTATGGTCTTTTTTGTTTCTTTAAATGAAAGCTTAAAACACTTTGGTCCTATATTCCACTGTATTGTGCAAGTAGTCCCAACAGAGTCGCTGTGACTTCTGTCTGGCAAAGCCTTACCTCTGATCCTCTCACTCTTCTTTCTTCTCTGAAAATCCATGGAGGGATAATTCAGCTCTTCTATAATTAATGGTTTTCTTTGGCTTGCCCTGACAGCTCTAGAGCCTTGTCCACAGTCAGATGGATTGTTTATTTAAGGACTAATTAGCAGAACCCAGTATCACAGCAAGTCAGCGCCTCACAATAAACGCAGCTGCACAGTAAATGCAGCCTGTGTCTGCTGTGGTGGGACTTCCATCAGTCAAAGTTTAGCTGATGAAAAAGTCTTGCAGTGAGCACCAGAAGCTGATAAATGCTTCAGTTTCTGGCAGAAGGCAAGGATAGAAACATGAGCTGTCTAATGAAAACCCTCTGCTAGCAGTCATAGAGGGTTTGAGTTTAAGAGCTGGGCAGCAATCCTTTGAACAGTGGTTGCCATATGAATTCAAAGGAGGCCAGTCCCTCAAAATTTATTAAAGTTGCCATTTTGAGCCATCTGAAAATTGTATGTGCTCTTGAAACATGCCCAGAGTCACCACCGGAAAGCATCTCAGCTGTCAAACCCTCACGTTACAGGCTGTGGGTTGTGACCGACAAATCATTCTGAAGTTCTTTTGGCCCCTCACTTGTGGTTTCTTCTTAAAGCACCAGTTGCTGACCTGGATCCCAGTCAAACATGTACAGAGAGCTTGTAAAGCTAAAACAAACAAACTGCAGGGCTTTGAGCTTTGAGTGGAGCCTGGAGTCACCTCAGCAAATGGCTGCTCCAATGAAAGAGAGGGTCGTGCTGTAAATATTGGGCTAACCCTGGGCTGAAATGCTGTGGAGCGTTGCCCAGTACAAAGGCAGCGGAGCAGGTTAGACAGGACTGAACAGCCTTGAACTGCCACAAGCACTTTTCTCTGTGAGTGTGGACTTGAAATCTCCTTTGGTTGTGGTAACTAGCTACTCGGCCCAGCAGTGAACAGATTTTAATGAGGGGTCAGTGTGTCTAGTTTCTTACACAAAAATGAAATATTGACAGCTCTGCTGCACCACTCTGTTGAGTTCTATTCCACTAAGTGCTTTTTATTCCCTAGTTTTGCATCCTCTGAAATCTTACGCTTAAGCAAAACCAGCGAAGCAGTTATGATGCTGCTTCATTTGCTCTATTTCTGAAAATAAAACAATGGCTTCCACATCTATGATGGAGTCACGACTTTCACTCCCTCTCTTCCTGTTGCTAATTATTATTTTTTTCAAGCAAAGTGCTTTGGGGCTAGAATTTGTCAGGCTTAATAATCAACCCGTAGGAGAATTAACAAGAAATTGGGTAAATTAGATTCAGCAGTTAATTAATTTGATTGTCCGCTACAGCAAACTTCGTCTCATGGGAATGATGAATGGATGTGTCCAGTCTCTTTTCCAGAGCCGTTTGGTACAGTGGACGTGTCTGTCCACCTACTGAATGATAAAAGTCAGTTTCAACATGTGTTTTCATGCCCTTTGGTGCTAGCGGACTCCTTAATCTCCAGGAGAGACAAGCCTAAGTGTTACAGCTGTGAATGTATTTCTGGTTTTCTTTCTTGCAAACCTTTCCTTACAAAAATATGTTCTCCCATCCTCCCTTGCTTTTATGTGTATGTGTGTGTCTGTATATATATTTATATATAATATAAAGCCAAGAATGTATTGTCGTAGTTTCTGAAATCTTGAGAGTATGCTAATTATTAGTCCAGATGTAATTATTACATAGAAAGAAAGAATACTATTATGGTTCAAATTGTTTCTACCCCTTTTCCTTATATTATG